AAAAGAACAGCATTGTGAATGTACCCACATCAGAAACCTGAAAGAGGAATATGAACTTGTCTCTTCTTGGAAGAGCTCAAGAATGATTCGATTTGATTTGATTTGATTATTTTTAGTTTTCAGCATTCATTTACATAAGCTTTTGAGTTTTAAATTTTCTTCCCCTCCTCACCTCCCTTCCCAAGATGGCATGCAATCTGATATAGGCTGTACATATACATTCCTATTAAGCATATTTTCACATTAGTCATGTTGTAAAGAAGAATTAGAACTAATAGGAGGAACTGTATGAAAGAAGAAACAAAGCAAAACGGAAGAAAAGAAAAGAGCAAATAGTATGCTTTGTTCGCATTCGGACTCCAGAGTTCTTTCTCTGGATGTGGATTTTCCATCATAAGACTTTTGGCGTTGTCTTAGATCCTTGCATTGCTGAGAAGAGCTAAGTCTATCAAAGTTAGTCATCACATAGTATGGCTGTTACTGTGTACAATATTCTCCTGGTTCTGCTCATCTCACTCAGCATCAGTCCATACATGTTCAAGAAGGATTTTAAAGTCAAATAAGAGAGGTAGAAGAAAAATTGGAAAAAGAAATGAGAGGTATCCAAGAAAGAGTCAATAGCTTGGAAAAGGAAGGACAAAAATTGACCGTAGAAAACAATTTCTTAAAAAGTAGAATTGGCCAAAAGGAAAAGAAAGTAGAAAAACTCACTGACGAGAAGAGCTCCTTGAAAAGCAAAGTGGGCCAAATGGAAAAGGAGGTACAAAATCTAATTGAAGAAAACAATTTGTTAAAAATTAGAATTTGGCAAATGAAAGCTAACGATGCTTATGAGACAGCAAAAATCAGTCAAACAAAATCAAAATAATGAAAAAAACAGAAGAAAATGTAAAATATCTCATTGGAATAACAGCAGACCTGGAAAATAGATCCAGGTGAGATAATTTAAAAATTATTGGTCTGTCTGAAAGCCATGATGAAACATGCATGCTAACACCAGAGCACCAATGGAATACTGTGAATAGTCCAGCACAAAGTTTGTATTCTTTTCCATACTTCTTATTGATCATATTAATAGAAGAGTTTTCTGTAAGGCACATCTGATAAAGAGTAGGGAGGTCCAAAGTTCTTTATGTGTCTGGTGTTAGAGGCCAAAGACCTTGTCATCTTAGAGGTAATGTCAGCCATGTTGCTATTGGCAGAAATAGGAACTGTGGCTAGATAGCCAGAATTCACTTGAGTTTTTTAAGGATCTTGAAATCAGCATCTGACAGTTCATACCCTGGGGGCTACCAAAAGCTTAAAAGTTGTGCTTGGTCTGTAGTGCACAGGAAGTCTTTGCTATATTTACTACAGGGAACAGGGTCAGTGCAGAACACAGGACCAAAGAGGTCTTAGGGGAGGCCTGTGACCATTACAATCTACTAGATCTGGTTGAGGCCTGTTAGGCCACAACCAGGAGTTATTTCCAGGGTAGTATTGCTACAAAGAGGGGGAACCAGAAGGGCCAAGGACAAAAGCCAGGTTGGATTCTAAAGATCCAGATGTTGGAACTTCTGGCAGATGGTAAAGCCTAGTTATAATCTCTCAATTGCTTAATTACAGCACCAGTGGCATCTAGACTATAGAAAGAGCAGAACCAAACAAGGACTTTCCATCCCATCCGAGATTATAGGAAGAAGAGTGTGGCCCTAGTACAAAGTCCTTATCTTAATTTTAATATGGGCAGTTAGGTGGCACAATGTATAGAACGCTAGGCCTGGAGTCAGAGAGACCCGAGTTTAAATCTAGTGTCAGACATTTACTACCTGTATGACCCTGGGCAAATCACTTAACCTCTGTTTGCCTCAGTTTCCTTATCCATAAAATGGGGATAATAATAGCACCTACCTTCCAGGATTGTTGTGAGGATCAAATGAGATAATAATTGAGAAGCACTTAGCATAATGTCAGGCACCTAATAAGTGCTATATAAATGGTAGTTATTATTATAATCATGTCTAATGATATGTTAATATAAGTAATAAATATGCATATTTTAGTAATAATCACTGATAACTATTAATACATGAGTAAGCAGAAGAAAATTAAGAAATACTTTGTGTTGAGCAACTGAGATAAAACCAGAAGAAAAGAGAAACTGCCACAAGTACCTCAGAACAAAGCATGACTTGGTTACAACTCTAGAAGTAGTTAGAAGAAATGAAATAATTGTTTAAAAAGTGAAACATGTGAGATTAAAATTTCTGAGAAAGAAGTGAAAGGAGATTAAATAGTTTGAAATAAAAGGTAGGTAATTATTATACAAGCTGTGGACTCCCTGACAAATAGAATGGAATAACTGGGGGGAAAACAGAAAAAATGTGAAATATGTAGTATTAAAAAAATAGATCATGTGGAAAAATAGGCTAAGGAGGGATGATTTAAAAATGAAACCATGACCAAACAAAAAGCCTAGGTATCATATTTCAGGAAATCATAAAAGAATACTGCCCAGAAGCTGTTTAGGACCATATAACAAAAGTAGAGTTCAGTCAGGACCACTCAAGGCTATATTGTAAGAACTTTATAGGAGAGAAAATCTTGCCATTGTAATTTCCAAAAGGCAAAAGAAAATAGTTTACAACCAAGAATAATTTACCCAGAAAAACTGAACAGAACTTTACAGTATTTACAAAAAAACAACAACAACAAAACACCCTTGGAATATGACAGACAAAAGGACAAGAACAGGTAAAATCTTTAAAACATAAACACAGGAGACAAGAGAAACTTGGAAAGATAAATAGATTCATTTCCCTCCAGGCTACATTTCTCTGGACTTTTCTACCATGACCCAGAATACCTTTTTATCCTGGAAGACTACTTTACCCCTGGATCTCACGCCTTGGAAATAACCCTCTGTCTCTGGGACCCCCTCCCTCTGATTACTGGGATCCTTCCACAGTCTCCATTTTTGGAAGGCACCTAGGCTAGCCATCTCTTCATTTTCCATCAGGCTAATTTCCTCTGGACTTTTCCATCATGCACTCTCACAGGGTAACTTCCACCCACTCTACTTCTCAGCTTCTTTTTATATACTGTCAAACCCTTAGAAGGCAGAGACTTTTCTTTCTTTTTGCTTGTATTTGTATTCCCAGCTCACAGTTGTTAAAGGACTACCAAGGAAAACAAATGCAGGAATGGAGTGTTTTTGTTCTGTTTTATAGATTTAAGAAAGGATAGAAAAGTGACAGAAAAAGGATTATTTAGACTAAGGAAGAAATGAGAAAGGAGTAGAAGGAACTTAGTGCTTGTGTAATTGGTGTAGTCAGTAAGAATATACTCTACCCTCTGGCAAAATGCAAAAGGATATTGAAGGGTTAAGGAATCTCTTGAACCTCACTTTGAATCAGAGAAAGGAGTGTTGAACATATGTAGGATTTGGTATAAAAATACGTTAACATATTAAAGAAAAATAGACATCAACAAAGAAAAAGTAGAGAAGGTTTTAAGAGGGACAGTAGAATTGGTAAGGAATATCACAAGCAAAACAGACTTTATTTTCAAAAAGTGGATTATAAGGTCAGCATATCATGCCATATAAAACATACAGCATTTATTATTTTACAGTAAAAATTATTTTTTAATTTAATTTTTATTCTGAAAAAATACATAAAGAAAACTTCCAGAACAAAAAAGGGTATGTGAAACTGGGAATCTTCTTTATGATACAGGTTGCCTTTTCTTTCAAATATATAATTCAACTTGTTATTTTCAAAGCTGTCTTGCTTCTCTATGCTTCCTTCCAAACTTTTTTTCTTTCCTATAGTTTAAAATGCCAGGATACCCTCTTTTCCTTCATGTTAGTAGCAAAAATTATCACAATCACGTGATGCTCTTAATAGAAGTACAAAAAGCTTTTAACAACATATACTACCAATTTCTGAGAAAAACACTCAAAAGCATAGGAATAAATGGATCTTTTCTTAATATGGTAAATAGCATCTAAAATCAAGAACTAGCATTTTATAGAAAGCAGATAAACTAAAGGCTTTTTCGATAAGATGAAGGGTAAAGCAAGGATGTCCATATTTTTATTTAACGTTGTTATGGAAATGGTAGCTGTGGTAATAAAACAAGAAAAAGAAATTGAAAGAATAAGCACAAAGAGGAAACAAGATTCTTTCTTTTGCAGAAGATCTGATAAATAATATAACTCTTGAGATTCATTAAAATGGAAAGAGTTGATATAAGGAAAATAGCAGGATATAAAATAAACCCATATAAATTATCAGTCTTTCTATGTATTACTCCCCTTGCCTCTAATAGCAAGAAGAAATAGAGAAATTTATTTCAAAATAACTATAGAATATATAAGATATTTAGGAGGCTGCCTACCAAAACCAAAGAGGAACTATAAGAACAATTTTTCTTTTTTTAATTTTTTATATTCAAACATGAAATACAATTAGCATTTCCATATACATGGCAGGAAAAGAAAATCATACAGGAAACTCCAAATCTCTATTACTTCTTGCTTTTCTTTTTAAGTATATATTAAGTTTAGTTTGTTACTTTTAAAGCTATTTGGTTATGATTGTTTTTGGCCTCACTTCTGTTCTCTTTTTTGCATTTTTAATAATTTAAAAATTAAGTTTATTCCAATTCATAGAAATAATTTCCCCCTCCCCCCAAAAAAATTGAGAGGAAAAAAAAACACCAAACCTTTAAAACAAAGATATATAAAGGAAGCCAAATTCTCTCATTGGCCATGTCCAGCACATATGTTGTTCATTCTGTACCAAGTAGTAGCATGCTTCATCATTAGATCTCTGGAATTATGGTTGGTCACTGTATCAGAGTTCTTAAATCTTTCAAAGTTCTTGTCTTTACAGTGAAGAAATTAATTTTCAAGAAGATATTTGAAGACCTGTGTGGAATAACTGATGTTGTGGCTCCATCTCATCCAAAATATGTAACTTTATTTCCTTCTGTTTTTGTTGAACATCCATAAATAGACCTTCCTGACAAAATGCCATGTGTTCGTCGCACTGCAAGAATTAAAATGAAACCTTTGGAATACTGGAGAGGAGAGCGAGTAGACTCTGAAGGCATGTTATTAGATAATGTTTAACTTTGATTGGAATGTGTTTTATTCCAATTTAAGAGGAACCATATGATCATTTGTGTTTTTTATTTCTATACATTCTACTGAACTTCAGAAAAGGCATGAGAAATCTTTAGCAATAGAAAAGTAGTTTATCAAAACACTATCTCCTTTTCTCTCCTCTGACATTTTGGTGACTTTAGACAATAAAAATCATTTAGTCTTATTTTATAAGTAATTGTAAAAATTTACATAGTGAGGACTGAGGTTGAAATTAATGATTAACCTTCCTTGTTTATTTTAGGTGGACTTGTGGTCAATGGGACAGTATTTAATGACAGAGTTTCACCCAGAAAGAAGTCTAACAGAAAAAGGGAAAAAGTTAATACAGATTCTTGTGAAGACGAACAAAGTATGACCTTAATTGTTTGAGTTTTGGGGATATTTTTATTTTATTTTGATATTTAATATTAGAGCTTTGAAAAATTATTTTGAGTATTTTGAAACATACCCTTTAACCTTTTAGGAGTAATTAGCACAGTGCCTAAAGCTCTTAGAAGAGTGCCTGACAGCTAGTAGGTACAATATAAATGCTTATTCACTTCTCTCCTTCCCCTTCTTTAAATAATTGTATAATAGAAAGGTTGCTGGATTTAGAGTCAGAAGATTTGGTTTGAAACTCAGCTCTTGCTGTTTATGACTTTTTTGGCTTTCCTCATAAGACAAGGTGAGAATATATGAGAAGATAGCATCACAAAGTGTGAAGAATGCTGGGTTTGGAGTCAGAGGACATGGGTTTGCTTCCTAAATCTGTCACTTAATACCTTGATCTTGACCAAGTCACTTGACCTCTTTTATCCTCAGTTTCTTTATCTTTAAATTGATTGAGATCAGGGGTTTGAACCTTTAGTCCAGTGAACTTATTTTTTAAACTGTTTTGATAATTATATTTTATAATTGTTTCCTTTGAAATCCTCTGTTTTAAACATGTAACATTATTCTGAGAAGTGGTCTGTTAGGCTTCCCTAGAATGTTAGAAGGGGTCAGTGACACAGAATTTGTGAATACCTGCACTAGGTAGGTAGATAGATAAACAGACAAAACATTTATTAACTGCTTACTATGTGCCAGGAATTGTGCTAAGTGCTAGGGATACCTCTAAAAGCCAACAAGATAGTTCTGCCTTCAAGGAGCTACCATTATAATGGGGAAAGACAGTGTATATATAAAGTGGCCTTGGGATTGGGATGGGGATGGAATGGGAAGGAAAAGCAGTTATGAAGAGGCATGATTTGGAGATTGCAGAAAGTGTCATGATGGCCCAATTCCTAGCTCACCTATCCAAGCTTGGAAGAGGAGCCGCAAGGACTAGATGACCTTTAAGATTACTTTCAGTTCTTAAGTTTATGAATCTATGAACCCTTAGAATTTTGCAACTCTGAATCTTCTCTGAGCCTCAGTTGCTTCAACTGTAAAATGAAGGGATTATACTAGATTGATTTCAAAGGTCCTTTCCATCTCTGATACTATTGTCACGCATCATTTGTTGCCAAGGAGTGAGTTTTTCCATGTAGATGAATTTCTACATAATTTAATCCCTGTAAGTATAAAAACTTCTAGCATCGTCTGGTTAAAACTTTTGAAAATATATTATACTTGTCCTTGCCTTAAGAGGCATATTGAACATAATTAAATGGTTTTTGATAACACAGGTTCATGATTATAAATTTCAGTCCTTATACTGTGTTTGTCGATAGGAGCTATTAAGGCACTAAATGGCTCTAGATTGGACTTTTCCTATTTTCTCCCTTATTGTCGGTTTGTAAGATTACACTTCTTGTACCTGCCAGTATTCTTGCTTCTAGCAGTAATTCATTTTCCCTTCTTCCCTTTAATCTACAGCATCTAATCTACTATGGGCTGGGAAACCAGATAAACAATCTTATTAGAATGATGTCTAAAGTAAATATAAATTGGCTTAAGGGATTTTTTTCTATAATTTGAGCTTTAGTGTAGGGTCTGTGTGACATATATTTTGACTCTTCAGTGTTTATTCTTTTTACCCTCCAATTTTCATTAACTTCTAATAATTGAGGTTGCCAGATAAGTGAGTTATGTTCCATTTTTGTTTTTTTTTATTTTCATTTATATTTGTGGGCTCTATCTCATTTGCAAGGAATTAAAATAACACTCTATTTATAATATTAAAAAAATCTTTAAAGATAATTTGGAAAGTTCAAGTGGTGTTACCCTTTTCATTTTAGCCCATTCTTTTTATCTTATTCTTAGCAAAAAATACTTTCATTTTTGGTACTGTAAAAAAAATCATGGAATTTTGGAACTGGAAGTGATTTTTAAGAGATCATCATATCAGAGTCTCTGATTTTACAGCTAAGTAAATTAAGGTCTAGAGAAGTTAATCGAATTATGGTTGGCCAGATAGAGAGTCAGGACAAAATACAAGTTTTCTGGTTCCAGTCTACCGATCTTTCTAATGTACTATACTTGAGAAGAGGATTTAAATAACTTTTTTTTTCAGACTGATCACTTGGAATTTGAAAAGGATTTGGGCTCTTTATAGTTTTTATAGTCTTCCATATTAAGATTTTTTATAATTTGAAATTAATTATATCTGACTGCATCATTAACTTGCCAGTTTTAAGTATTTGCTATGTATTTTTATGATTTTTTTCAGAAAAGAAAGCAATTGCTGCTCTGAATGTATCTCTTGGAGATCCTTTAAAACCAACTTGTGTATTCGACCCAGGAAGAGAACAAATGGTTTTCAGGGGTAAGATGTTGAATAGACATCAAGACTAACTTCTGATTTATTTTACTAGTGTGACATTTTTCATCATTCAGTCATTCATCAGTCACCCAACAAGCATTTATTAAGTGCATACTATGTTCCAGGCACTATCTATTTCCTGAGAGATACAAAGAAAAGCAAAAATGCTGTTCCTGCCCTCATAATGAGACAATATGTAAATAACTGTTTGCATATAAATATATGTGTATATGTGTGTATATATAGAACATATATGTATGTGTGTATACACACACACACACACACATATATAGAACATATATGTATGTGTGTATACACACACACACACACACACACACACACACACACACACTAAGTTAAAGGTAATTTTAGAAGTAAGGCATTAGCAGTAGAGGTAACTGCAAAAAGCCTCTTGCAGAAGGTAGGATGAGCTTATTTTTGAAGGAAGCCAAGGAAACTAAGAGGTAGAGGTGAGGAGAGAGAACATTCCAGGTGTGTGGGACAGCTGAGCTTAGAAGGGAGGTAGGGATTTTGAGTAGCAGAGGTGAGCAGGGGACTGACTGCATTTCAGGAATGGAGATGGAAGGTGGAGTGTTGTGTATGAAGAGCAGTAAGTAGACCCATTTGGCTGGAGCATAGAGTGCATGAGGGTAAATAATAAGTAATAAATTGGCTAGTGTCAAATTGTGCAGAGTTTTAAATGACAAACAGAGGAGTTTGTATTTGCTGTTGGAGCTTTTTGAACAGGTGAGTGACATAGGCAGACCTGCACTTTAGGTGTTTCACTTTGGAAACTGAGGAATGGATTGGGGAGCAAGGAGACCCAAGTGAGGAAGCTGTTGCATTAGTCCATAAGTAAGGTGATAAGAACCTTTCACTAGAGTGGTGAGTGGAGAGAAGACGATAAATAGATGTGGAGATATTATAAAAGTAGAATAAGCAGAACTTGCTAACTGACTATTAGATATAAGGAGTGAGGGAAATTGAAAAGTTGAAGATGACTCCTTAGTTGTGAACTTGCATGACTAGAAGGATGGTGTGCCCATGATAAAAGTAAGAAAGGTAGTAGAAAAGACTGGGATTTGAAGGGAAAGATGATGAGTTATTTTAGACATGTTGAGTTTGAGATGCCTTAGTAGTAGAGGATCATGGATTAAGACCTAGAAAGAACCATAGAGGTCTTCTAGTCCATCCCTTTTATTTTGTAGATGAGATTTTACCTAAATAAACTCATATAGCTGTGCAGAGCTAGGGTGTGAACTCAGGTTCTCTGAAAATAAAACTAGTAATTTTTATGTTGGGTAATACTACTTTAACCTATCTGACAGGGGGAAATAGCCAACAGACGTTGATGATGGGTGTCTGGACCTCAGATGGAAGAATGAGGCTAAAGAATATAAGCAAGTTACTTAACGTTTTTGGCTTTAGCGTTTCATCTGTAAAATGACGACTTTGGATTAGGTAGCTATTAAAATTTTTTTTTAGTTCTGAATCTATAATCTTCAGATTTAAATCTATGATATTTTACTATGACATAAGGTTGATCATTCGAAAGAAGAGGGAAGAGAAGGAGCTACAGGTTCCTGCTGTTTCTCATATTTCTAATGAGACAATATGTAAATAACTGTTTGCATATAAATATATATATAGGTGTGTGTATTTAATATGTGTGTGTGTGTGTATATTTGTGTATGTATGTATGTGTGTATACACACAATGTAAGTTGAAGGTAATCTTAGAAGACAATACCATGGGTTATAGCCACAATTAAAGGGTAGATCAAGAATGATGATCAAGCAAAGTTTGAAGGGACTGAAAGATGAAGAGGAATTAGTCAGACTTCATTAGACATTTCTTCAAGTAGACCATTTTCTTAGTCACAAATTGAATGAAAGGTACCCAGAATACAAGCCTTCATTCTTTTAATTGGTAATTTATGAAGAAGCATTTGCTTTGGGTAAAGCATTACAACTCTCCTCTCATAGAGTGTCTCCCATGAATAAGATAAGATCTTTCAAGATTACTTGTTCAGCCTCTACAGAATAAAAATTAGGGTGACCCAAAAGGCAGCAGAGAGATGTGTAAGAGTGGAGTGTGGCATAATACCAATGATCATTCAAAAAGTAACTCATATACATAACTGGAAAAGAAGTGAAGCAATCACTTAGAAGAAATGAAAAACAGACAACATAAATGCTTTACTTGTATCTGCAGGTACTAAAATCTAGAGCAAAGACTATATGTTGAATAAGTACACTGTGGAGGACTTAAGGGAAAATCTGATTTAGAATTAAGTCATAGATATGTTTTACTCTACCCTGTTGAAAAGAATCTGCATATTCGTGAAACCAGGAACCTATCAATGTCTGGCTTTATTAACTTTACTCCGTGGTTTTATTCATGTTGATCAAGTTATGTATCTAGAAGTGTCTGTGGATAAAAGAGAAATCATTGAACTCTAGGAACTTTAGATGAAATGAAGAGATATAACTATATCTACTTGAACATTTTCTGGTCAATATCTTGAGTCTCAAAGATATTTCAACATTTGGAGATTGCAATTTGAGTGACAATCAAGGGAAGAAGTAGGAGAAGTATATGAAGGTTAATGCAGACAAGTACTTAACTGAGCTGATTTCACATGGCTAGTAAGTGGTCGTAGGATTTAAATCTGGAAGGGACTTTAAAGTTAATTTAGTCCATGCTCCTCATTTTATAGAAGAAGAAACAGTGTCAGAGTGGTGAGGTATCTTGTGTAAGGTTGCACAGGAAGTTAGTTGCAGAACTGAGATTGGAACCCAAATCTTCTTACTGTGGATGGAATGCTGTTTCCACTGGCTATACCATCCTACTTCTTTAGTATACTTTATGTACTTCATATATCTTTCTTTCCCCTTAGACCTTGTGAAGCTTAAAGGTACACATGAATTTTGTGTTCAGGATGACACATTGAAAATGTTTAAAATTTTGAATACTTCATTGTTTGCCACTGGCACATTGATTTTGGAGCCCTTTAAAGAAAAGGGAAAACAGTATGTCTGTTCAGATACAGTGGTGAGTATCCATTTTCTCCCTGTCTTTCTTTGTATTATAGGTTGAATCCAGTTTTAATGATCTAAAACATCAAAATAGCTATTTATAAACTTTACTAAAATGAAAGACCAATTATAATGCAGTGAGGTTTTTTGTTTACAGTCAATCCACCCTACCAACAAATATTTCTAACATGCTTAGTGCTATGTTATAAAATCGAAAACAACTATGAGACATAGTTTTATCTATAAGGAATTGAATAGAATCATAAAAAGTGGAAATGATTATATCTTAATAGATAGGAAATCACTTATGACCAGTACAGTAGTCATTTCTTAATCCACAGTCAATGGCCATTTTTATCATTAACTTGTTGGAACAAGGGTAAAAATCAACACTAATTTAGAAGGAAGTATAAAGATGTGAAGCTATAGCATCCTGTTACAAAAGTTGTAACCTGACATACAAAAGAAGTTATTGATGGTGAAAATAGGAGATAAAGAAAAAGATATCGACACAGACTCACCATTTTTTTTTTATCTAGGCAGTGGGGTTAAGTGACTTGCCTAGGGTCACACGGCTAGTAAATGTCAAGTGTTTGGTCTGAGGCTGGATTTGAACTCAGGTCCTCCTGACTTCAGGGCCGGTGCCCTATCTACTGCGCCACCTAGCTGCCTGTAGACTCACCATTTTTAACAGAAGTTAAACAGGTATATAGCAGTTCCAACAATGAAGAGGCCTAAACAGCCAAGAGACTGCCTTAACCAGAAAAATTTGATCTTTATAAATGGAACAACATGGTAACACCAGTTTAGAGTATAACCTAGTTTTCAAAGGAAAAAGGATAGTGTTGCCTTATGAAACAATGGAGGGAGAGTTAAAATTGCAGAAAGTTGGTATAATGTCTACATGAGCCAGATCATCCTAGAAGTTCTTAGAGATGAAACTTGAAGGACAATAAATAAATATAGTAGCTCAGAAAACTGGCCTGACTCCAGTAGATAGTTCAGATAAATGGATAAAGAATGTGAGCTATTAAAAGGAATTTAGATTTCTTTCAGTAAACAAACTCAGTTATGCTTTAAAACTCTTGGGGAATTTAAGAACCAGTAGAGAAGAGGTGAGATAGAGAAGGGACCTAGTCAGAGGAAGTCTATGGCATTTGAATAATTGTAAGTTGCAGTTCAGTTCTGTGCTCTTGAGCAATCCATGAATTCCTGTACTTTGTACATACTGTGCTATTTCTTTAGGTTAACTTAATGAATTGATTTAGGCAGGCTAATTTACCTTATCCATATGGTGGCTGACCTTTCCCCACCTTCTCCAAATGACATGATGTGATTCTTCATCTTTTACAAAAAAATCTATTCAAACTTCCCATTTTATGCTTTTCCTCTGTTAACCTCCAAATTTGTTTGTCCTCAATATCTTTGGTGTTTAGCTCTTGATTCTTCAAATATGTTATCTCATAAATATAGCACTTCCCTCCATCATTGTAAATTACAGCTTATCTATTTTTCTTATTCTGTGTACTTCTTATCTAATTCTTCCCCAGTTCCTCAAGAGCAGGAGTTTTTAACCTGGGGTTTGTGAATCCCCAAGGGATAAATAGATTTCAGGAATATCTGGAATCTTGATCAGAAGAGAGAGAGAGAGAGAGAGAGAGAGAGAGAGAGAGAGAGAGAGAGAGAGAGTGAGAGTGTGTGTGTGTGTGTGTGTGTATTGAATAATAATGTATTGAATAATAATAACAATGATGATAATGAACATATATGTTCCAGTATTTCACAAAGGGAAGAGAATAGAATTTGCAAGCCCTATATCAATGAAGTTGCCTTCAGTTCCTACAAAATTCTAAGAAGTATTATTGAACTAATATGGCTTCATAAAGAATAGGTTGTGGCGGGGGCAGCTAGGTGGCGCAATGGGAATGGCTGAACAAATTGTGGTACTTGAATGTGATGGAGTATCACTGGTCTGTAAGAAAAGATGAATGTTAAAAATACAGAGAAGTATTGGAGACAATGAACTGATACAAAGTGAAGTGAGCAGAATTAGGAAAACAATATACACAACCAACAATGCCAATTGAAAGACCTCTCAAAAAAATGAAATGTGATACCTAACTTCTTATAGTTACCAAGCTTGGCCCAAAGGATAGATGAGAAAAATGCTTCTCCTTTCTTTGTAGAACTTGAGGACTATGGATGTGACGCATTAAATACATTATCATCTCATAAATATGGCAGATCTGGTTAGGCAAGGGCTAAGGTGCTTTTTTCCTTGTTTTTTCTTTGCAAAAAGGGGAAGGAGAGTAGTAGAGATGGGATTTATTTGTAAATGAAGGTGAAGTAAAATTTTCTTTTTTTCAAAAGATAGGTCATGTCAAATGAATTTTTTCTTTTTCCTTTTTGAAAGGCTTAATAGAATGATGGATCAAGGGATTTCTGTAAGATGTGGTTTATCGAGATCAGGGGTGGGGAAACCTGAGCCCTTGAGGCCATGTATGGTCCTCTAGGTCCCCAAGTGTAGCTCTTTGATTGAATCCAAACTTCACAGAGCAGATCCTCTTAATAAAAGAATGTGTGGATTATTTAAAAAACATTCTTTTAAGAGTATTAAATCTACATCAGGGTCTGTATTAAATATAATGCTATTTTCTTTGTAAAGTCAGCAGCATTTCAGTCTAATAATTGCGTAGGCCAGCCATAAATGACATTTAAACTTAAATGAATCTACCATGATAATGGCTACAAACATATGTAGAAGTGTTAGAGTTCTCATTTTTTTTTGGACATGAAAAACAATAAAGAAATGTATGCTTTTTAAAGGCAAATTTCTTTTCAGATGCAGTGTGAAAAATAACACCTTAGCCAACCTTCTGATCCTTTCAGAATCATTTATATAATTGTTCTAGCATATAAAAGCTTTTGATGCCTTTAGCTTAAAATTTTAAACAGATATATTTTGTTGAGGTTTTTTTAATGTAGCTATTGGTTCCTTGCATAAGACAGGGCTTAATTTAAATTAACAAGATGCCATCCAAATACCACGTGTTTCTAGGTTTTGTATGGAGTTCTGTGTGCCTTTGTATGGAATTCATTGTGAATAATGTTTTGATTAATTTGATGGTGGTGCTGTATCAGGGTCTTAGCACTTTCTTAAATGTAATAATTCTGTATTATTAGTTCTCTTATTATGACTGAACAGAAGTGCATAAAGTTAACATTATGATAAAATGATATCTTGAAAAAGAACAATTGAGCAAATCAGTAAGGTCAAATTTAAGAAGAAAATTTTTACTATATATGTTTACTGTAAGAACAGTATTTTGGGGCATCTAGGGCGCACAGAGGATAGAGCACTGGCCCTGGAGTCAGGAGGACCTGAGTTTAAATCCAGCCTCAGACACTTGATACATGCTAGCTGTATGACCCTGGGCAACTCACTTAACCCCACTGCCTAGCCAAAAAAAACCCAACAACAACAAACCAAACTGGTATATTTTTAAAAATCCTAATTAAAAGATTTGATTTTATGTTTTACAGGTATTCTTTATTGTCTGTGGTGATCTTATATGTACTTTACATGAGACATCTTACAATTTAACTACTGGAGATATATTCTATGTTCCTTCAGGTAAGATTTAAAGAGAATTGATTTCAAAGCAATTATAACATTTGCCATCACTTTTAGAGTTTATATAAGAGCACAATAGAGTTAAAAGCCATACTAAATAGGAACTAAATAGCCTGGTATATATTGAAGATGCACGGAGAAAATGATTTGTTAATGAACATTGAGCATGAAAAAAGTTAGAGGAGTCCTCAAATAGAAGGAGTACTATAATAGCTTTTAGTAACTTATGAAGAACTGATACGGTCATACTTAATTGGTTTTCATGCTTCATTTTTACCTTTTTGTTACTCTGCCTCAAATATATATATATTTATATATAATTTTATATATGTGTACATATAAATATATATGTATATACTATTAAAAACAACATTTTATTTTGTAATGTGTAAATTACCCCAGTATGTATATAATACAGGGCTCCTGCTCTGGTATTATATAACGCGCTCAGCATGAACATGATTTTTGTTATTTTCCCTTATCCAGGCTAATTTAGGATTATCTACTTGCATGAGCAATCCAAAAAGTATTTGTCAGTCCAATGTGACCTTTGCTGTCCTAGGACTGTTAGTTAAGTCTATGAATTTCAAAGGGCTTTCCTTTTCTAAGGCCATGTCAACTTGAGTGCACTCCGTTTTGGCTGATCTCAGAGACTAAGCAGGGTTAGGCCTGACTATTACTTGTATGGGAGACTATGGAGGAATGACTGGGTACTAGGAGTTTTTGCTTTTGAGAGGCAATATGGTTCAATAGATAGGGCATTGGACTTGGAGTTAGGAAGACTTAGGTTCAAATTTTGCTTCAGATACTTACTGGCTAACTTTGGTCAAGTCACTTCTCTCTGTCTCAAGTTACACCTGAAAATGAGGGGCTTTCACCTGATAGCTGCTAAGTTCCCCTTCATTATGATCCTTTGATCTACTTTAAAAAAAAATTGAGATCCTGTTTATTGGAATTAAGTAAATTAAAGTTATTTATTGGCATATATTCTTAAGTATATAAAAAGGCTAATCAAAATGAGATGAGGCTTTATTAAATTTAATATGAAGGAAATTTCATAATATTACCATATTTTCCGTATTTTACTTCTAGGTAATTTTTACAACATAAAAAATCTCCTGAATGAGAGAAGCATTCTTCTTTTCACTCAGATAAAAAGTGAAAGACCAGAAAAGTAAAAAACTGCATGTGCATACATAACATTGTTGTACCGTTTTCCCTGGGAGTCATTTTTTTTGTGTGTTTGGAATTATAAACATCCTGTTTTGTGTACATAAATAATATTATAAATATTTTCAAACTTCCCTCATGCGTGTTGTTTTTTTTTTCCTCTTAATATACACGGCATGGTCTTTAGTAACATGGATAGAACAACAAAATTGTTAATGAGATGAAGGACATTTGTTTTTGTCAGAGGGAAAGTAGTTGATCTAATCATACACTTTTTCCCCTTTTCTTTAAATTGTTATTGGTTGAGTAATCTAACAATAGTGAATTGAAATGTGTACTGTTTTGGAAAAAGCAACTTTTTTTGGGGGAAAAAACAACAAAGCAACTGCCCACCTCATTTTTGTACCTTCTTCCCAGTACACAGCACTTGAGGCAATGCTACATTTGCCTTGGTTGTCTGTATTTCAACTTATATTTTACCCTAAAATAACAGGATTATGCTAGGTATCATGCTTTCAATAGTTTCTGAGTTACAGAGTGCTGTTATATCATAATGAATATGGTTTTAAAATGCTGCTTGCAAACTGTCATATGTACATAAGTTTTAAGAAGATATGTTTTTGTAATGACTGAAATGTAAGAGCTGTGGTTTTAATCTGAAAAGTATTCTAAAGGTAACTGGAATTTTTGGCTAGATTTTTTTAAAAAATCAAGTCTAGATAATGAAAAAAGTTATTTTCTTTAATTGAAGATTGAAATGGTAGAGTTTTTTTTGTTTCGGAATATGTTAATACCATTCAGTTCCATTTAAATTAAATAAATACTAATTATGTGCAAAGCATTGTGCTAGATAATGATGATTAAAAAATAAAGATGAAATAGCCCCCCTTTTGGTGGAATTTAGATTCTTTTGAGGAAGATATAATACACACACAAATAAAATTCAGGAGTAAGAGAGTCAGTAACTGGAAGGGGGAAGAGTAGAGAAAGTTTTCATTAACAAAGTACATTCCAAGTATGAAAAAGGTCTTGTTCATTCAGTCAGTAGACAGGCTTTTCATCTAATGCTTATTACATAGTAGGAACTGTGCAAAGCTCTTAGGAATGTAAAGAAAGGTAAAAAAACAGTTCCTGCCCTGAAGGAGTACTCGGTTTAAAATTATTTGGTAGTCTAATATAATTCAAAAGTACAGATGCAAGGGGCATAGTATGGAATAAACTTAGAAATCCATCAGCATTTATTGGTTACCCACTATATTTCAGGTCTTAGGGAATCAAACTGAATAGGCCCTTCAAAGAGCTTAAAGTCTAGGGAGGCAGTGTGTTCACCTATATGTATACACAGACTAAATACAAAGTACTTTGGCAAGGGTAGGTGCTAGCAACTTGAATGCTTAGGAAAAACTTTATGGAGAAAGTGGTGATTAAACTAAATCTTGAATGAAATAAGAGATTCTAAGAGGAATAAGTGAGGGGGGAGTACATTACAGGTATGGGGCACAAAGACAGAAAGATGGAATGTCATGTAAGAATTTAAGCATTTATTATTAATCATTAAGCATTTATTAAATACTATGTCAGGAATGTTCTGTTCTGGAGTTAGAAAAATAGTCTTTGTCCCCAAGAACCTAACATTGTAATGGGGAAGAAAATATGCATATTTAAATATATACGTATATGTCAGTACTTAAGAGATTAAGCAATAAAGGGTAATTTAAAGGAGATAGCACTAGCTGGGGGGACCAGGAAAGTCTTTCTGGAGGAGTTGGTATTTGAGCTGAGTTTTGAAGGAAGTCAACCATTCTAATCCTTGTTGAGAGGAATAGTAAGTTGAGAGGAAACAAGTATTTATTTTTTATAAATACACATAATGCTTAATGGTTAACAGTACCTTATATCCATTACGTGATTTGTGACTCACAAAAACCTTATGAGATACATAATGCAAACATTATTATCCTTATTTTACAACTGAGGAAACTGAGGTTCAGGGATTTTAAGTAACCAGTCTAAAGTCACACAGCTATTATGCTCCATGATTTCAGAGTACAACAATATCAACAAGTAGTAATCCAGGGACTGATGTATTACCAGTAGCTCTTAAAGTCAACACAAAAGATAAAATACAGATGGATTAATTGCAGATTAGTCTTCAGGGTTGTACAGTAATGTAAGGTCATGCATTACTTGAATAAGGGAAACAAGTATTTATTAAGCACCTACTATGTGTTGGGCACTGTGCTAAGCACTTCACAAGTACCACATTTGATCCATATAACAATCCTGTGAAGTAGGCATTATTATCCCCATTTTAAAGCTAGGGAAACTGAGTCAGGCAGGTTAAGTGATTTGCCTAGGGTCACATCTACTAAGTCTGAGGCTAGATTTGAACTCAGATCTTCCTCACTCCAGGCCCAGTGTTCTATTCCCCTTGGCCACATCACTGCCTAGGGAAAAGCATTCCAGGTATGGAAAACAGCAAATGCAAAAGCAGTGAGACAAAAGATGAAGTGTTGTATGAAAGGAAAGCCAATTGTAGAAAATAGTAAACTATTAACGAGAATGGAAAGGTAAGGAGCTTTAAATGCCAGACAAAAGAGTTTATATTTAATCTGTGAGGTAATAGGGAGCCAATGGAGTTTATTGAGTGTGACTTCACGTATATACTTTAGGAAAACACTTTGGCAGTTGAATGAAGAATGGATTAGAATAGTAGGAGGAGGCAGGGAAAGCAAATGGGTGGCTATTGCAATATTACAGGCAAGAGATTCAGAGGACTTGAACTAGGATGGTGGCTGTGTAATAGAGAAGATATAATTCTATGTCTATGATGTTAGGAAAATATCTTTTTTTGTAAAATTCATTTTTGAAAATTATGAACTTGGCAAATGTCACATAAAATGAGCATTGCTACATACATAAAACAGAAAAAGATTAATCCTGAAATCAAATCTATTATGTACAATTTGCATTACACACAGGACACCCACATATGCATTAAAAATATCAAAGTGTCTTGCTTATCATGTGATTTTGGTTTTTTAGCCTTTTCTGTGCATTTATAAATGCTTCAATTTCCCCTATTTTTGTGGGGGTAGTAGGGAAGCTATTGATAAGCTCACTGCCTATCTCCTCCTTCCCACCCCCAGTTATGGAGAAAAAGTATAGGAAAAACAAATACCTCTTACAAATGTGTAATCAAGCAAAACAAATTCTTATATTAGCCCTCTCCAAAAATGTATATCTAATTCTATACATTAAATTCATCAACTCTTTCAGGAGGTAGTTTACTTGCTTCATCATCTGTCCTATGAAATTGTGATCAGTCATTGCTTTGATCAGTTTCTGTGTTTTTCAAAATTGTTTTTCTTTACAATGTTGCTGTATGAATTGTTCTGCTTTTGTTCATTCTATATCATTTTATATAAATTTTTCCCAGTTTCTTTTAAACCATCCCTTTCATCATTACTTGCAGGCATAATTTCATTATTTTTTCCCAGCTCAATAAAGGAACACTATTAATTTGGTATAGCACTTAATAAATAAGTGAATTTAATTATTATTGTCATTTTTATTATATTATCATTGCTTACCCATGAAAAATCAGTATTTCTCCAGTTATTTAGGTTTGTCATTTTTTATGTAAAGAGTGTTTTATAGTTGTATTCATGTAATTGGGTAGGTCTTGGTAGATATACTCCAAAATATTTTATAAATTCTGTAGTTATTTTGAAAGGACTTTCTCTTTTGATATTTTTATAATGCATTTTTTGGTAATTTTGATGAATTTTATTTGCAGCGCCAAAATGCTTATAATTTATGTAGAATAACTTCTATCATGCAACTGTGCTGAAGTGAATTGTTTTGATTAAATTTTTAGTTGATTCTTTGGAGTTCTCTAGACCATCATTTTATCTGCAAAAAAGTAAAAGTTGTTTCCTCTTCATATATGCCTATTCCCTGAATATCCTTTTCAGGTCTTATAGGTAGCATTCCTAGCATTATGTTATTATAGTGATGATAATTGTCACTTGCTTTACCCTTTATTAGAAAGATCTCTAGCCTTTTTTCATTATGTATAATATTAAGTCTTGGTTTTTAGCTAGATACTATTTACTATGTTAGGGAAAGGTTTATTCCTAGCTTTTTAGTGTTTTAAGAGAATGTTTCTTGGATTAAAAAAAAAGTTTCTGGTATTTATTGATGTAATTATGTGAGTTTAATTTTTATCATTTTTCTATTTTTATTATATTGAACCAATCCTATATTCCTAGTGTAAGTCCAACATGGTAATAATGTATATACTTTTTACGATGTTATTATACTAGCCTTTTTGAAAATATTGGTTTTTTTTAATTGATGTCATTGGGGATATTGGTCTATGATTTCCTTCATTTTGGTATCAAGGCCATATCAGAGAAAGTCATAAGGATAACTTTTCCCCATTTTTCAAATAGTTCATCTAATATTTAAATAGTCTTTAAAAGTTTGATAGATTTAACTTGTAAATTCAACCAATTAAGAAGTTGTTTTATTTGAAAGTGTATCTGTGGCTCACTTAATTGCCTTTTCTATTTCTTGTATTGTTAATCTGGGTAATTTGTTTTTTGAAAATAGTCATCAATTTCACCTAAGTTATCCATTTTGTTGGTATATAATTTGGCAAAATAGTTTCTCATATTTTACTTTATTTCGTCTTAGGTTGTTGTGAATTCTTATTTTTCATCTTTCCTATAATTTGGTTTTCTTTTTATACAAAATGGACTATTAAAAATATTTACTAGTTTTATTTATCAATTTAATAAGGTTTTGCTTTTACTTTTGTTAATGTCTTTTGATTTTTTGAATTTCTACTAACTTTTTTTTTGATTAATTGCTTTTTTAGTTTTTTAAAGCTCGTGCCTATCTCTTATTGAAGAAAATATTTAGAAGAAAGTATTATACAAGTTTTCCTCTAAGGCTTAAAATTTGTATCCCACAAATTTTATTATGTTGACTTTTCTTGCCCATTAGATTGTAAACATTCATCTTCTAGTCTTTTCCAGTTGATCAAATATTTATGTTAGGTTTTCTATATTTCTCTTGACTCTGGAATTTCATTTCAAAGTTCTTAACCCCATTGTGACCTTGTTTT